TTTGAAATTCAAATTAGTCATATTGTATTGATTTATAATTACTGCTAATAATTAGCGAGCCGTAAAACAAAGATTTTCTACTTATGGGACATATACGGACAACTCAATGAAATACCCTGCACAGTACAAGCAGATTAAAATGAAGTTATAATTGATCTCTTTTGTAAATAAGACACGTTTTCGTCGCGTATCATGAACTCTACGCAGTTTAGAACAATGAGATCACTGTAATTATGACTAATTTGAATTTCAAAGACTAGCCTTTTTTACAGCTAATTCAAAAAAGGTGTATAAAAAACTGAACCCTTTCAAATTCAAATTAGGTATAACGTATTGTAGCAATTTGACAGCTCTAATTGCTTTGAATTAATGGTTGGGTAAGAACACAAGGTCTTGTACTCACGGGACAAAACTCAAAGAAATAAAAATTAGAAAATTTAAAACAAATACTGTATTTCTTTTAAATTTTCTAATTTTTGTTTCTTTGAGTTTTGTCCCATGAGTACAAGACCTTGTGTTCTTACCCAACCATTAATTCAAAGCAATTAGAGCTGTCAAATTACTACAATACGTTATAGCTAATTTGAATTTGAATTCAGTTATGCGATTGTTTCCGTTCTGTTTTTCTCATGAATTATAAATGCACTGCAGCCGTTGACATATGTTGCAATATAGAGCTTATATTTTACTTAAAAATCCGGCAAAACCCACTTAAAAATCGGGCAAATTTACTTAAAAAAAATCTGGCAAATGATTTAAGAGAAATATGTAAAATGTTGTGAAAATGTGAATTGATGTGTCGAAAAATTTCCGCCCCTCCTCCTTGTCGAGTAATGTCGACAGTTTATATCTGAACATTTTTTGTATTGGTCGGGCAATTTTCGTGAGTCAGGCAAATATTTGTCCGGCCCCCCTGATTTTCATCCCGTACGGTTATGTTTGCCAAATATGTTTTTCAGAGACTCCTCTTTGATTTTTAGAAAAGTATTTTTTCTTACCTAATTTACATTGATAAAACTCTCATCTTGGCAATGTTGTTGGATCTGTTGGTTGTAAATGTAGGCATTCATCTAGTGGTCGTTCCTCGTTGCACCTGATCGTTCCACTGTCTTCTGGCTGGATTCTTCTTCACACCTCATCACATCTTTTTTTAAATGAAAGAACATTTCCATTAGATAATACATTAAATATCCGTAAGGAGGATGTGCTTGAAAACATTTAGTTATTATACGTAAGGATAGGACATGCAAAATAATATTAAATGCTAAAATGAAAATTGCATAGGTGCATAAAAAGGTGTGGCCAATCTCAAAGAATTAAAAGTACAACTGAGTAAGACAAATGGATGTGGCAATTAAAGTGAGTAAGGCGAGAATTTTTTTATTCATTGGTTTACGGATCCGCTGACCGTAAATATTCAGAGAGTGAAAAATAAAAGAAATTGGATGTCAAGTTTTAGTTAATTCGGGGGTTCTTACATGAAGTACAGGTCAAGTAAACTTCGACTCTAAGTACTGCTGGCTCATGTTATCGTTGTGACAATCAATATGGAGATTAGCCATGTTTTTCCAAGTGGAAATTAAATGTTTAGAAGATAAAAACATCGATTTTAAATATACTCAGTGTGTTTTAAAAAACATTTTCCGACCAACCTACCTGGGTTTTTTAAAGTCAAATCCATAAACGAATAAATAAAAAAGTCTTGCCTAATATATATTACGTTATTTCCAACACAATTGCATCGACAAAACTTACATTTACATCTTTGCATTTTGCTTCTGTTGGTCACGGTTCGTCATTCTGTTGATGGTTCCATCATGGTTGGCACGTACTCTCTTCATGGCACATCACAACACGTCCATCCAGTAGGTAACAAATGCACTCGATGTCACGTGAACCAACATAAAATAAGGAGAAAAAATCAATTAATTCACGTTAAAAAACAACTTACAAAACAATAAATGTTTATATTTAACTCCAAGTCGATAAAATATATTTACAATTAAGAACAGCATGCAATTTATTATATAAAGTATAGTGCTTTATGTAATGTTTAATAAACGAGTAGGAGTGTTTTATCACATATAAAACACGACGCGTAGCGGAGTGTTTTATATGTGATAAAACACGAACTACGAGTTTATTAAACAGCTTCAAAAACGTCTCAGTTAGATCACGGCATTGGCGAAATAATTTTCCAAAATAACTTTGTATTAGCTGAGAAAATACAAGTTGAAATTTGAAGCGTGTTTTATCACATATAAAGACACGCCACGCTCATGATTTCTCTTTGTGTTTTCCTCATGAATTATTAATGAGTTTTTGAAAGAGATTTCGAGCACTGATAAAAGTGATAATCTCACATGTGAGATTATTCATGTAATCTCACATGTGAAAATTATCGCTTTTCATTTATCGCTTTTCTGTAAAAATTATCGCTTTTCAAAGGCTGTCCTTTATATAATAAACAGAAAAATACATGGGTGCTTGGAAATACCAGATTTATTTCTCGTGTTCACTCGTGAGATATCATGTTCAACACTCGAAATAAATCTGGTATTTCCGCGCACCCATGTATTATTCTCTATATAATTACAACCTATTGATTGTGAAGTAGTATTTAAAACACGAGAATGAGTGTTTTAGATATGATAAAACGCAAGTTCGAGTGTTTTGAATAGCTTAAAATACGACTACAAAAGAATACTAATTAGGATGAACAATTATACAATCATACTAATTAGGATGAACAAAAATATAAAGAATACTAATTAGGATGAACAATTATATAATCATACTAATTAGGATGAACAATTATATAATCATACTAATTAGGATGAAGAATTATATAAAGAATACTAATGAAGATGAGTTTTATCAGATATAAAGTCACTCCACGTGACATATTATGGCTGACATGATTTGCCACAAGGTTTGTGAATTTTTAACGAGTATTTTAATAACATAAATAACATCGACAAACCGTACATCTGCATCTTTGCAGCTTCTGTTGGGCACGGGTCATCATCTATCTCTCTGTGGTATGCTTGTCCCTTTGTGCTCCGTCTTTGAATGGCGCATCCAGTTTCCTTGACATTAGATCCTGTGAGAAAGTAAACGATGACAATTTTAGGAAAATCCATTTTAAGTATGAGAGAGGGTGAAGTACTGATAATATAGGGTTGGAATAGCTGAGGAAGTAGAGATACGGACACGACCCCAACATTACTAAACCCCCGCCAAAAAACCCCAGATTATCGAGTTTAGAAAAATGCTTCACATTTTAATCGCGAGTGAAATATAAAAATTCGTAGAGCAACCTAGGTTTTGCTGCTCTCTCCATAGGCCAGGCAAATTTTAGTGGAACACGGGCCAAAACTAGTGGCTAATTAAAAACCTTAAATTTTAATTATGCGTCTAAGGCATGTTAAATATCAATCTCGTGCCCAGAGCAATGCCTGTGCGCGGGCTAGGAAGGAAATTTCTGGGAAAATTGACAACCGGAACCCCTAAATTTAGGGGTTCCGGTTCTTTGTCGGCATGCACGATTGACAAACGTTAAACCAATCACAGCACAGGAAAAATTCAATTTTCCCGGAGCCAATGCCATCCTAGCCCGCGCACAGGCATTGCTCTGGGTACGAGACAATCTCGTTCCCAGAGTATGCCTGTTCGTGGGTTAGGTACCCGCGAACAGGCATACTCTGGGAACGAGATTGGGTACGAGATTGGTTAAATATTTGACCAAAATATTCCATTCCAAAACCGTCCCTGCCTTGTTAAATAAGGCGATAATATAAAAATGAATATACGTCTAGATTATTTCAGTAACAATACAATTGCTTTCTTTAAAGCTTTCCATGGCGTTCATAGTGAAAATAAGGAACTATTTGTCGTTACACCATGTATTTAATATAATTGACGGGCCGTCTTCGGAGAAAGAATAGAGACCTCACGATTTTAGGACTGCAACGCGACGGCAACGGCTACCAATACAATAGATCATTGAAAAGAATTGAGTAATTACAATATATGAATAATTTAGTTGCGAACAATGCTACACTATATAGGTCCTCTGGTAGGAATTTATAGCAATGTATATTTTGATTTTCGTGTATGCCAATCTTATGAAAAATTACCATTATCATGCAGTGAGTGACGTCGCCCCTGGTTTCAAACAGATCTGCCGAATTGTGTTGTTATCTAGAGTATATACAGACATCATTATATTTTCGTCCGAAGCGTAGCAGGCATAGTTTTATTAAAAAATAAATATTTTTAATAGTCAAATATTTAACATCCTAACCATTGGGCTGCTGATGAAATATCTAACTAAAGCCTGAACGAATAGCAAAGCACATATATATAGATGAAAATTAATATATATTATATATACCTGAGCGACATTTTTCCTTTATCTTTTCTGTCAGCGGTTTCATTTTGTACGGTTCATGACAATCTTGCTGGAGAAAAAGAAATAATATATAATTTACAATTATAGAATAAATAAAGCCTAAACCAATGGACCATTTGCATTATAGACAAATTTTTGATCTAGACAAAAATTTCATCACAAAATAAAAAACAAAGAGCATCACAAAATAAGTAATATTCCAAAGTTTCGTTGCGAAATGTTTTAAAATGCGGATAATATAGCCTTGCGAAATTTGCAATTTTCAGTCATTTTGTGTTACAAACGGGAAATCGATGCCCCAATACCCGATTGGGCTGTCAATTTCCCGTGCGTAATACAAAATGACTGAAAACGGCAAACTTCGCAAGGCTATATTATCCGCATTTTACAACATTTCGCAACGAAACTTTGGAATATTACTTATTTTGTGATGCTCTTTCAAGCTGTGATGAAATTTTTGTCTAGATCAAAATTTAGTCTATAATGCAAATGTCCATTGTAAAGCTGAAATACACACGGACTTTAGATAACAATTAATACTGATATATACCTGAGACAGTTCATGAACTATTTTTCTTGGTTTGATGGTGTGGTTTTATATTTTCTTTTGCAATCTTTCTAAAAAAATAATAGTAATTTTTGATTACTTTCAATAGAATTTGTACAAATATACAATAAGAGAAAATACGGAAAAAAGGGGGGGGGGGCTTCAATGTCAGTTTTTTATACAAGGGACTTTTCTCGACTAGGTTAACTTTTTAAGACCGTGTCCAGATGATTGGTTTTGACTTAACAATATATAATGAACATGTTTTAATCTTGGAGTATAACTGCTTATACTAGTGACCAGGTAGAATTTTTTATTAAAATGAAAAAAAATTTCTTACATAAAATATACTTTTCCATACTTGAAAAAGTTATAGCAAAACTTACATCTGTAATAAATATCCTATATAGTTGGTGTTCAACCCATCTAAAATGATTTTCGGTGCATTTTTCAGATTGGAGAAGAAGGCAACGCCATCTTGGTTTCGAAGTCCTTCGACCCTGCCGAATTTTTGGTGTCAATTTTACTGCCATTTCTTCGTCGTTTTCTTCAAAATTTCTTCCAAACGTCTTCCTCACAGGTTCGTCGACATTTTTATGGTATTTGATTGGTATTTGTACTCGTTCGTTGGTAGGAAATCTATGCTTGTGGTTCAAATTTTTTCGCCGAGAGCGCAGAAGTTTCTTCTTCGAAGTCCAGGAGCAAATGACGTCAGAATACGATTGTTCGCTGACAAATACCCGTATGTATAATGATTAATGTGTGATATTTTAAATACGAAGCTATAAAGCTTAGTTTCTAGCTTAAATTGAGGGGTTTTAGCCACAACTTTCAACTGTGGTATTTCTTATATTTCTTCCCTTTATGATTTATATTTTGTTTCGCTCAAAAAACGCTCCTGGGGAGCGTTTACTATGTTTTTTTTATTTGCATGCTAATGAGTGCGGAAAGACATGTTCGATTTGTCGGTTGAGTTTAACTTTTCCTCCGTGGCCGAGTGGTCAAGGCAATTGTATTGGGAAAAGCCACGCCCTTTGGTGTTTGCTTAGGTTCGTCCCTCGCTTGGGACAACATAGGCACGATACCAAGCACTCAAGGGTGTGACTCGCCGAAAACAGTTGCCGGTACCGATAGGCTACCGAAGGAACGTTTGAACGTGCTGCTAATTTCTTCTATTTAATCATTTACCTTAATACTGCCCGATGGGGACCCGCCTTTCGAGAGCCACCCAAAACGAACAAGCTGCCTTACACGAAGGCACAAGACAATTCTAGTGTAACACTAGAACTGCATTGCCCTTCGTGTAAGGCAGCAGTCGTTTTGGGCTAAACGAAATATGGCTGAGATCGTTTCGGCCATATATCGTTTGGCTCTGCCCAACGATATATGGCCGAAACTATATATGGCCGATATCTTTGCAATGATTGTGGTGCACTTTTGCACCATTGTTTTGTCGCTTCTGCGCGGTCGTTTCTTTGCTGAATCTTAGCTGTATATGACATTGAAGAATGCCCTTGAAAGGATCCTGCGTGGTTCTGGGTTGAATTCCCAGAGCATTTTATTGTCAATATACACAGTTTTCATAACGCAACTCCGTGCATGCTATGGCGCAGATTAAGATCGAACTTATCATGGCAGACATTAGTCGAGTTAAATACAACGTCCAAAAACAACCGGTCGTTAGTAACTGTGTGTTTAACATTGAAAATGTAGTAATAGGCCTTGTATTGTCATAATGCTGTGCTGAGTGGTTATATTACTACCTTAAAAAACAAGCAGAAAAAGATTGGTTAATCGATAGTTATATGCTGTAGCTAAATTTCATTCTACAAACAGTACGGACTGGAGCGTTTATACTTCATTGCATTATCTAAGTTTACAGTAAACTATATACATGCAACATCTCTAGACATTCATATAAACTATAAACATGGCAATCATATATCTTGTTAAGTTTCAAATTCTTTCCGATTACACACTCGGAAAGCCTGCGATTTTCATATCCAACGGACTTTACATTGTGAACATGAATTTTTTGAAGTGGCACAAATTCATGGCTCTGCTCTACAGGGCTTGAAACGCTCTTTCTCAATACAATCAACTAGTTTATACCATTATTATTAGGCAAGGTAGTTTCCTATCAAAGCTAACGCTAAGTGCTGTGACCTGTGTGTGAATAACTTTTAAACACATCGTAAAGAATAGTAACCGACAACTCAAGCTGCTCACAGACTGTAGACTCGATGGATTTATAGTTAAATGCAATATTAACCTGAGTATCAGGCTCTATTTTACAATCCTGATACTCAGGTTAATGCAATATCTGTACAAACAACTTCCAAAAGCTTTCTAAATATACACATCGTTTCGTCAATGAACATTTAATTTTTCAAATCACACTGTACAAGTTAATCGGACGGTAATCATCTCTCTGTTGCATTGCTGTCTTGTTCAACAAAATCAACTACTAAAATCAACCAGTTCATACTATGATTAATATTACTGGGAAAGGTAGTTTTAATTCCTTATCAAAGAGAACGTTTAAACATTACATCTTGCATGCGGCTTAATACACACTCCGTATTCTTCATAAGTTCAATCATGAGATGCACCATAGCATACACGCAGTTGCGTTATGAAAACTGTGTATATTGACATAAAATGCTCTGGGAGTTTAACCCAGAACCACGCACGAAACATGGTCCTTTCAAGGACAAATTTAAGTGTCATATACAGCTAAGATTCAGCAAGAAAAGACCGCGCAGAAGCAACAAAATAATGGCGCAAAAGTGCACCACAATCATTGCACAGATATCGGCCATATATAGTTTCGGCCATATATCGTTTGGGCAGAGCCAAACGATATATGGCCGAAACAATCTCAGCCATATATCGTTTAGCCCAAAACGACTGCTGCCTTACACGAAGGTCAGTGCAGTTCTAGTGTTACACTAGAATTGTCTTGTGCCTTCGTGTAAGGCAGCTTGTTCTTTTTGGGTGGCTCTCGGAAGGCGGGTCCCCATCGGGCAGTATTAAGGTAAATGATTAAATAGAAGAAATTAGCAGCAGGTTTAAACGTTCCTTCGGTAGCCTATCGGTACCGGCAACTGTTTTCGGTGAGTCACACCCTTGAGTGCTTGGTATCGTGCCTGTGTTGTCCCAAGCGAGGGACGAACCTAAGCAAACACCAAAGGGCGTGGCTTTTCCCAATACAATTGCCTTGACCACTCGGCCACGGAGGAAAAGTTAAACTCAACCGACAAATCGAACATGTCTTTCCGCACTCATTCGCATGCAAATAAAAAAAAACATAGTAAACGCTCCTCAGGAGCGTTTTTTAAGCGAAATAAAATATAAATCATAAAGGGAAGAAATATAAGAAATATCAGAGTTGAAAATTATGGCTAAAACCCTCAACTTAGGCTAGAAATTAAGTTTTGAAGCTTCGTATTTAAAAAGTCAGACATCATACATACGGGTATTTACCAGCGAACAATCGTGTTCTGACGTCATTTGCTCCTGGACTTCGAAGAAGAAACTTCTGCGCTCTCGGCGAAAAATTTTGAACCACAAGCATAGATTTTCTACCAACAAACGAGTATAAATACCAATCAAATACCATAAAAATGTCGACGAACCTGTGAGGAAGACGTTTGGAAGAAATTTTGAAGAAAACGACGAAGAAATGGCAGTAAAATTGACACCAAAAATTCGGCTGTGTCGAAGGACTTCCAAACCAAGATGGCGTCGCCTTCTTCTCCAATCTGAAAAATGCACAGAAAATATTTTAGTCGGGTTGGACATCAGCTATATAGGATATTTATTACAGACGTAAGTTCTCCTATAATTTTTTCAAGTATATGGAAAAGTATAATATTTTATTTACGAAAATTTATATATTTTTAGTAAAAATTTATACCTGATCATACTTAAGCAGTGATATATATATATATATATATATATATATATATATATATATATATATATATATATATATATATATATATATATATATATATATATATATATATATATATATATATATATATATACAAATACTATTATTTTTTCTCTAGCAAGACTGTAGAAGAGCCATACAAGATGAAACCAACGACTGAAAAGATGAGGCTTGAATTCTCTCGGGTATATTAATTTTGATCTTTCTTGTTTTAATTTAACACAGAAATACTTGTATTGGATAGTGCAGGTTTTTGATTGACCATTTGTTTTAGCATGTATTACCCTCAATTTAGATCTTTTAGGTTTTTCTGACCAATGGAGAGAGCAGCATATTAGCACATCTAGTTTATTACAGAATCTAACATTTTGCATTATATTATAGATCCCTACAACAGCTGTGATAAAGCCACGCCCTAAATAATAGACCTGGATAATGCCTTCAAGAGCATTGGAAATGGTGAGAAAAACAAATTTTAGAAAATACTATTGTTAAATATTACAAAAATTTTCTTCATTAGCCTTATTTTTTAACATGGAACATAACATTACTCTTCGTTTCGACTAGTACCAGTCATCTACAGTAGAATGCCACGAAAAATAAAAGCTCGCTGGTCGTGAACAGCGAGCTTTTTGAAAATTTTTATTAATTTCTATTGTAAAGATTTTTCTAAAATTTTTGTTGCTTTTTCTCAAAGGAAGTGAAGAAAACTGGATAGCAGAACCTAGAGTGATGTAGACGACATGGACTCACGAAATCAAATACGAATATAAGCTGCGAAGATGCAACAAGAATCGCAAATGTAAGGTTTGTCGATGTTTAATCACAATCAACGAGATTCCATTTACTATTTACTAGTTTTATATAATTCACATTGCCGAGCTCTTTAACATTCTAACTGCAATAGACAACTTGCATGTTAGACTACTTTTTGATTTAGGCAAAAAAAAGTAAATTCCCGTAAAGAACTTATTAAAATCAGTAAAATAGCAAAATTTGGTTGCGAAATGTTGTAAAATGCAGAAAATATAGCCTTGCGAAGTTTCCATATCTTCAGTATATTTGTATCACGTGCGGAAATTGTTACAATTTTCGAGCCGAAAATAATTCTATTAAATAATTCTATTTTGTGAGTGTTTTGTAACGTGAATTAATAACATTTTCTCATTTTATGATTGTTTACGTAACATTGAGTGCACTTGGATGGACGTGTTGTGATGGATGGATGGACGTGTTGTGATGTACAATGAAGAGAGCGCCAACCACGACGGAACCATCAACAAAATGACGAATTGTGACCAAAAAAAGAAACAGCAATGCAAAGATGTAGAATAAATGTAAGTTTTGTTGATACAATTTATTGTGGAAATAACGTAATCCGTATTTTACAGCATGTTGTAAAACACGAGGGACCTTTAGCTAGCAGGACGGCGACGGCTATTAATACAATGAAATTTATGACAGTGTAGAAAGAAAATGCATAATTAAAGGTCCCATGGGAGTTTTAGACGTCGTCCTTGCTCTGTTTACAACAGCAAACCAAAGATTTTCACGTTCTTTACACAACGTCTGCCTTTCAAGCCGCGAGAAGTCGTCCTCGCCAAAGTAGCTTAGTAAAAGTCTTCTCAACTATAAACCTCTGTCTTAACCTTCTCAAATTGCAATAAATTCATACAACGGATAATACAAGACATGTTGATCTTAAAGTTACTTATTCGGACGAGTTTATTTTGATTTTTGGCCGTCGTCGTCGCGTTGCCGTCACCTATTTGCTAAAGGTCCCTACGGACTGGACCGGGAAAACGCGGACTCAGTCCGCGTTATTTGTAAAACGCGGACTCACTTTGTAAAACGCGGACTCAGTCCGCGTTATTTGTAAAACGCGGACTCACTTTGTAAAACGCGGACTCAGTCCGCGATTTGTAAAACACGGATTCAGTCGACGTTTTGCGAATCGTGGCAAAGTTTTTGTAATACACGGACTCAGTCCAGTACTGACTTTATACTGGAATTGCGGCATAATTCTGTATGTATTTAACCTTTATATAAAATTTGATCGACGCTAGCCTCATCTACATTCAGTTGGCTTCCATGAGGGGCGTCGATATATACAAAATAACATATTTACAAAAATGACAAAAAGAATTTAAAAAGTACAAAGTTACAGGCGACAAACACGAATAATATTTTGTAATGTGTGACCCTATCTAATTAATATTCAACCTCGTTCCCAGGGCCTTTTTTAAAAATGCATGCGGCGATGGGATTAATATTCAATTTAAAAACATATTCTCATTGGGCTAATTTTGCTTCCAAAGAAAGGCTATTCCAAAGTTTTGCGCCACTATATTTGAAACTTTTTTTAAGGAATTCCCTTCTCGGAATTGGTAAAGCTAAATCAGTAAATCTATTTCTAAGATTGTAAGATCCTTGCAATGCACTATTCATAGTGAACAAATTTTTCAAATTAGGTGCAGTATAATTATTCAAAATCCTATACATTAATATCGATTTATTCCGTTTTCGTCTTTCCTCCAAAGTTACCCAACCAAGAGATTCAGCCGAATTAACTTCGTATAACTTGCGCCGGCAATTATCTTTGCCGCGCGATTTTGAAATTTTTGAAGTTTATCTTTTAAAAAAGCACAACAATTTCCCATAAAGGAGGGCAATAATCAAGATATGGCTGTAACAAGGCAATATAAATAATTTGCAAAGTATATATAATTACGAACAAAGGGCTTTATTCGTTTCATAATCATATCCTGGAGCTATAAGTTGTGTTGGTGTAATGGGCTAGTATTCCAAAGCCAAAGGTCGTAATTTCGATTCCCACCATGGCCAGGCATATTTTTGAGCTTGCCCGGTGTGGATATACACTCAGAGTAACATCACAGGCATCAATTTACCATTATTTATTGTTTTGAATAAACAGATGAACAGCGTTCAATCTTAGGAACACGCTCAGCCATGTGGAACTTTGCCCCACTATTGTCGAGGAAACTTATGCGTTATATATCAAATGTGGCCGTTTCATATTATTTAAATAGCTGCAGCCTGCATATATATAGCTCTTATATACCATAGCAGATATCATTTAGTGTTAATCATAATTAGACGAAGCCATTCTTGATTACACTCAGTTTTACAATGGTACGGTTGCGGTTTTGATTTACGATCCCAACAAATATGAGATAGAGTTAATTTGCATGTTTATTTTGCGTTCGTGGCGTATGAAAATGGTTATTATAAATTTTCGAAAAATATGAAATAAAGAAATTCTAATCAGTTCCCCATTAGTAAAACGCGGACTCAGTTCGCGATTTGTAAAACGCGGACTCAGTCCGCGTGTTTTACAAATTGCGGACTGAGTCCGTGTTTTACAAATCGCGGACTCCGCGTTTTCTGGGTCCAGTCCGTGTTTTACAACATGCCAATATTGCGAGTACAGTAAACTGTAATGAGACCTTTACCAGTATAAGAAAATGGGGATTTCAGCTAATTATCATTACCACAAATTACCATTTGAAATTATACCACTTAAATTTAGTGTATAACTAATTTTAATATAATTTATTCAGTCATTATCAATTATCTAATAGAAATAATTATTTGTTTTAAAAAGGACGTGATGCGATGTTAAAGAGAGTGCAACAAGACAAGATGAAGCCCTACAACCAACAGATCCTACAACATTGACAAGGTGAGTTGTTCATATTAGGCCCTGGGTTATACAACTATTAAAAGGGAGAAATCTGATTGGCTTCTCAGACATGGAGGGGAAATAGAGACAAAAACATCATGATGTCATTGTATCATTCGATTACATCGTGACACAATAAAACAATCTGATTCTACCATGTCATTATGTCCTGTTATCATGTGGTTTTGTCGTGTTATCATGCAGTCACGGATTTTCTGGCGGGGTGCGGGGGTGCGCACCCCCGCAGAAATGATTTGCACCCCCCCCAGAGGCATTTGGCACCGCCCCCAAAAGTTTTTGCACCCCCGAAAATTATATATATTTTGATTTGATAGTTTCATATTTGATTATTCTTACTACTAAATTTGTAAAATTACCAATATCATGGTCTCAGATCTCGCCATGCAGGCCTAGAAAACAAATTTTGTTAAACTTTTTCCTTGAGCCTTTCCGGGCGTTGCCACCAGGCCCCGGCCAAAGCAAGCAGCATCACCCCCAGATATTTATCCCCGAACAAAAATATGAAAATCCGTCTCTGTAATATCATGTCATGATGTCGTATCTTCTTCACATTTTAAAATATGTCATCTCTTATGCAATTTTATTATATGGCAAGCATCACTTCCGGTGAAATGGCGCACTGTGATTGGCCGAGAAGCACTTTCAGCGGTCCATTATTTTCCCGTAATGGCCGACGGTCCATTGCGTAAAAACAAACGCATACATTTTGAAACAACACAGCAAAACTAATTGAAAATTTGAAAATTATAATTTAATTTACGATATGTGCGAATGGTTTTAGTGGAAAAGAAGGAATACATTAGTATTTTTTGTTTTCTTCTACCAAATGTGTACCACGCTATTAATATGAATTTCAAATCATGCATTTCCCGTTTGTTTCAAGTATAAATGCCATATAATAAACTTTTTATTAACCTCGCTTGCTCGGTAGGTACAGAGGAATATCGGACCTCGGTCTTTTAGCATAAACCTCGCCCTATGGCTATGGGTTCGGTCTGTACAAAAAAAAACCCCGGAGGTCCGATATATCTCTGTAAATACCTCGCGTAATTCGGTAAATAAGACGTTTATGTCGTGTCATCTTGTCATCATAATTCATGTCGTAACAGTAACCTGGCCGGTACTTGGCCGCGAGATGTGGTACAAGGGCGGATTTTCATATTTTTTTTAAAGGAGGGGTGGAATAATTTCTAGTGGGGTGCAAGCGGCACCACCAAGCGAGCTTCGGCAGGGGTTAAGCGTTACGGTTAAAGACTTTCACACAAAATAGCAGGGGTGAGAAACACTTTCAGCGGTTGAAACGCATGCATTTTAAAACAAAACAGCAAAACTAATTAAAAATTTGAAAATTATAATCTAATTTGTTATTAATAAGATATCTGCGAATGGTTTTTAGTGGAAAAGAAGGAGTACATTGGTATTTTTTTATTTTCTTCGACCAAATGTTTACCACGCTACTGATATGCATTTCAAATCATGCATTTCTTGTTTATATATATGCGTTTTTTTTGTACAGAGGAATATTGGACCTCGTTCTTTTTGTACAAACCTCGCCCTACGGGCTCAGTCTGTACAAAAAAGACCTCGGTACGATGTTTCTCTGTACAGACGTCGCGTTCCGTTAATAAGAAGTTAATAATGACACGATAACACGACATAATAACAAAACATAATGACTTAATAACAAGACCTAATGACATTGGACCATTGGTAGCATCACATGAATGGAATGATATAATGACATCATGATATTTTTTCTCTAATGCCCCTCCATACTCACAGAACTCCTGCTATTCAAAATACGTCAACACAAATAGTTCGTTTCTTTGTAATATTTCTCCGTGAAAATTGTTACGGGTGCTAAAGCGTCCCAATTCAAGAGTATGCGCTTTAGAAACTACTGCAAGTTTTCTTGCACCGGTTCCGTGTATCCCAGGACCTTCCTCATTATCATAAAATTTCTAATGATAGTTATTTTTAATTTCAAAAGTTGATGTGATCAAAGAATCGACGATGTAACGATTCGACGATGTAACGATTCGACGATGCAAGCTGAGAGAGGTCAACATGAAAAGACCAGAATGAATGACACGCGGATGATATGACCCAAGAAAAGAATGACATTTTGCAACAATCTGAAACCACGAATTGCTAATATGAAAGTAGTGAAAATGTTACCAATGTAAGTTAAAGGCAAGATACTTATTCAGAGATCAAAGAGGATTCCAGCGAATACAATTGTTTCTCGTTGAAAAAAAAAAACAATAAAAGAATTACATGGCAAAATTGATATAAAATCAACGTGATTATTAGGTGCCTTTGGTGAAACTAAAATGAGGTTTAGCAATTTTCAACTTCAAATGAAGTTTGGCAATTTTCTGAAAGCTAAAGAATTGAATTTTTATTCAAAATCAAATAAAAAATTCCGATAAAACTTTCAAATACGCGATAACGCAGCGTTTTTCGACATTAGCAGTAAGAAATTAAATTTTATATTTCTGAAGTGTTTATGAAAAAAATATATAGGATTAGGTTTTACATTAAAATTAACATTTTTTAAGTTACTAACCTTTATAAAGCTCGAAGTCTCTTGCTTGGAAGATTTTCGATTGTAGTCTTTCTGAAAACGAAATAATCAATGTCACCCATAGTTAATGTAAAGTAAACGTGTATTCTGGAAGTTGCATAAAAATCGTTTTCTAGTGGACATCTGATTTTTTTCGTCGTCATTTGGTGTTGGAAGTGAAAACAATTCACGTTTATATTCTGTTAACTATGGGTTGCCTGTACGTTTATGAAACTATTGTATTCGCAATGAAATCAACATACATAAACAAGAATACCAATTAAAGGAATGATTTCAAACATGAAAAACAATAGAAATTGATGAAAAACAATAGAAATTGATGGAAAAACAATAGAAATTGATGGAAAAACAATAGAAATTGATGAAAAACAATAGAAATTGATGAAAAACAATAGAAATTGATGAAAAACAATAGAAATTGATGGAAAAACAATAGAAATTGATGGAAAAACAATAGAAATTGATGAAAAACAATAGAAATTGATGAAAAACAATAGAAATTGATGAAAAACAATAGAAATTGATGAAAAACAATAGAAATTGATGAAAAACAATAGAAATTGATGAAAAACAATAGAAATTGATGAAAAACAATAGAAATTGATGAAAAACAATAGAAATGGTGAAAAACAATAGAAATTGATGAAAAACAATAGAAATTGATGGGAAAACAATAGAAATTGATGGGAAAACAATAGAAATTGATGAAAAACAATAGAAATTGATGAAAAACAATAGAAATTGATGGAAAAACAATAGAAATTGATGAAAAACAATAGAAATTGTGAATTATTTTAATTCCCATGGGAATATGCTATCCTTTGTTTCCAAGCTAATTATTAATTTCATAAATATGTGTGAAAAACACTAATTATTTCCCGTATTTTTAATTCCCATGGGAATACACTATGCTTTGTTTTTATGTTGATTTCATAGCGGAACTTGACTTTATAATGAATCCTCTTTGATTAAATAAGATAAGTATCTTGTTACTTTCGGGTTTGTTTTAGTAAGCAGGAACAATTAGCCATTGTTTACTAAAGCAAATTATGGAAATGGTTTGAGTAATTAGAGCAGCTGCGACGTACCATGCAAATAATTAAGGCGTTCCGGTTAAATGTGTATGAGAATTGTGGTCATTTAATATTTCGATGAGTATGCACTATATAGATAAACTGTACTATACTGTATGGTCATTTCAAAAATATGCATGGTAATTTCCGTTTGGATTTAAAATCCAAGATAGCTAAAAACAATTAAGTCTTCTTTTCAACCTAGTACGCCAATTGATGACAAATACTTGACTTACGTTTTACATTTAAAAAAATTCAAAACTGTATACATTCTCATGCTTATTTAACCGAGCCTTTGCTTTAGGTAAGTTTACCGGTTTATATTTACTTATTATCAAAAAGCCCATGCCCATTCAGTTAAGGTTTTACGTTTCGAACCTGAATCCAAAACTCAGTCTAAGTGGGATATAGGATAGCTAGTGTAACGTAATTTTTTATCTTTTTATTTTGCTTTTTTGTTTATAACGTAATTTATTAGCTAAATGTATGGAGTGCGAGAGTGTGCGCCGTGTGCATAAGATGCATGGGGTTAGGCTAAACTAAAGGAATTAAAATTTCTGAAAGCAGGTAAAATACCCCAATCCAGTGCCTTTTCTAAAAAGCATTTAATATCTCAAAATCATGAAAGTTTATAGAGTTTTATTATATAAACTAAATTTATTGTGCCGTACCAAAATATTCGGAGCAAAAACAAGAGGTTTCGCCACTTTCTGTATTTTGCCAAGTGAATTTCATGTATAAGAGGCAAGCAAGAAACTCACCTATTTGTGTACGCGGTCTTTCGTAATCGTCAATCTTTAATTTATCCTGTTTACGTTTGGCCTAAAATATCCGAATAATTAAATTAATTATGTATGCTTTACCGAAATTTTAATTCCTTCAGTTTTTGAAGGGTGGGCAGTTCGGGCTGGTGGCAGGTTGGGCAGTTGTGAGTGTCTGTGTGATGGTGAGGAAAGCGGAAGTTACGAATGGAATGCAGGTAGCTTAGGACCGAGGCAGACAGCTTAGGACTGAGGCAGGTAGGCAGTTGGTAGGAATCAGTGGGGGGGCACTTGTCATTTTCGGCCACGGGATCCAAATTTGCATGCTATAAGTATTTGTTACTAACGTTTGTTGTTTTACATATTTGCTAGGTATGCGCGTGGCTGCTCTCAAGAGAAGATCAATTTAGCAATTTGCATTAGCATTTGCAAGGTTGGTCTTCTCTTCGCCCTGCTACCCCGGCTGGCTCTCCGAGTGCTACCTCTACTTTAAGTAGGAGTACTTCTATATATAGAAGTGCTTCTACTTGAAGTAGAGGTAGCACTTGGGGAGCCGGCCGGGGTAGGGGGATTTTTTTTATTATTTTTTTCAATTCCCATGGGAATTGAACTTTTAATTAAAAAGGAGTCTCTTGTATAATTAATGAACAATTTATTGAAAAGAACTTGTAAATTTTACAATTTGAATAACAATAAAAAGAGAACAACCACTGCATTACTGTACTTATTTAAATAACAATAGAAGAAAACAGAACATGGCACAAATAGAACAATTAACATTGTGTTCAACACAAGTGAATAAACACAACATTAAAAATACCTTGTTTGCCCGCGAATTAACATTAAAAACGTTAACTCTTGAGGAAACAAGCGGAACTTGGTCTTTTCAAGATAAATGTTTATACTTCAAGATAAATAATTATGAAATAACTGTAAGTGATAAATTTTACGAGTTTACCGAGTTATTTCACAATTAAAAAGAAAATATATGGCTCAAAATGAGAGAAATTAAGTAAACCGAACATGTTTTTTTATTTTTTTTAACGCACTAACTGGTTTTTGGTAAATTGACAGAAATATTCACTTGAGTATGGAAAGTAATAATTTTACCGTACTGTTTTGATGTTCAAACAATAGACTTTAGAGTTGTAATTGAGGACACTTATCAAGTTGTTGGCACGACATTGGCGATGCGAATACCAAGCATATTCATAAATTCAAAGTACCTTAACACTTTTGACTTAACAAATATAAAACATTTTCCGTGTTGGTATTCGAGTTTTAGCCAATCAGCGTTCAGAATTTACAAATGCGACATTATAAAATGCCTTATATAGCAACATATTTAATTAAACTCGAAAATGAAATTTTTCATAATGTCAAAACGTTACTAATTATTAGTTCCATACTCAACCGAATATACAACTTCTTGTATATAAATAGGAAAATATATTTCCATCGATAAAAATCAAATCATTTTTAAGTGCGAAATCGAAAACGTCTGCAACTAATTCTTTTGGAGCCATATATTTAATTTTTAACTGTTTTCTTTAACCTGACAAGTTTGAATAGATTAGACATAATATGTTAATACTATTTCAAATGATGAAAATGCTTTTAAAAAATATTTCTAAAATTTTTAATTTGATTGATTATCAACAAACATCATGTATAGATTTTTTAAAAAAAACATCCCAATTCATGAAAACCAAACATTGGTGCAACATTGCTTGTCCCTTGGGATATTGGTAAATGCAATAAAAAAATACATCAGACTTGTTGTCTTTAGATACAAAACGCTAGTTTACTTTACAAGAAAAAATTTAAGCTTCAGAAATTAGTTCGATGAAAACATGTACTGACCATAATGTGCACACAGATTTAAAATCTTCAAAAAAATTTTTTTTATTGTTCAAAGGGCAAACTCTTCACTTGGAATAAAAAGCTTATTAATTTACATAATTCAAAACAGGAGTTTAAAGTTTAAGGTAGAAATATTGATGATGATACTGAGTACTAAAACTAGACAAATTTGACCAAAATCTTTGAGCACCAAATATAATATAGTGGTGCTTTTGGTCCAAAAACCCCCCAATTTCCATTTTCCACACAATCCCAAATTTCTCTCCCAACAAACAAAATATAATAATGCACTTTCATCAATTTGTAGTGTGAACATTAAAACAAAACAAACAAATGAAAAACGGATGAAATATATTTGTAGAGCAGAAATTTTGTCATTAGACCAAAATAAAGATGGCATTTTAGCCAAGTTTTGATAGTAATCTTGTCAGGTTAAAAAAACATCTCTTTGAAGTATAAACTTACCTTTACTTACTGGTTGAAAAGACCATGTTCAAATGCCATGTAAACCTGTTTTCCTATATTATTATTATGACAATTATAGCATACTGTTACAAAGTGGAACTATTTGAAAGTTGAACTGAAGCCAAGGAAATGTAAATATAAAATTAACAAATTAACTGCCAAACATGAATTAACCACAATCAGACAATAAAAAGTTAAACCAAAAATATTTCAAAATAGATCTCATAAGCTCAAAAATCAAAATAGAAATATTTGACTTGTAATTTTATTTTCATTTTACAACATGTTAGTCTCTGGATTACGTTTTGTCTTAAACCAGATTTAGAATAAAAATATTTCTTTTAATTCAAAAGACAGTTTGGTACAAGCATAAGAACCTGATGCTCTCTGCCTCTCAATAAGATCTAAGGCAAACGATTAGAAAACTATGCATGGAAATAAAGTTCACATACTACGAATTGAGATTTATAATGTAATTAGTCCTGAAAGTATTTGGAAAATGAAATATGAAAGGTCTGTCAGGCATTTGACTTCAGTGAAATTACTGTATAATAGTTTGTCATAAAGACTAACAAATTTTGATTCAAATTTGCTCAGATTGTGTATGTGTGAGCTTTGCATAACTATTTATCTGCTTATATTTTTCATGTGGTTCTAATTCCCACATATCACTAATGTTTCTAATCATTGATGCCTACAATGGCACCAACCATTTGAGATTGTATCGCTACTTATGCCATGCATTAGGTCTGATCTGCAATTCTACTATCATTGAATAATTTGGTAAACATCAAACATCTATATTAGCTTTCCTTGCATTAGTGTTAACTTACTTTGTTGAAGTCAATCTTGAAACTCTAATAGCGGAAAGTATTTATTTATGAAATTGTAACGAAATTTTACCAAACAATTATACACTTTTGAATACTTTTCATTGTTTTTTTTCTTTGCCACAAATCAAAACATATTCCGAAAAACATCAACTTCGTCTGGTTGTGGTTTACTTTGCTGTGTGTGACATCAATTTTCTTTTAGCTTTATCACCTTGCATTAGCCCAAATTTGAGTATACAGTATATGTATGCTTGTTGCTTCAGTTCATCCGTATTCAAACAATTCCACTTTGTAATAATGTGAAGACAATATGCTAGCTTATTTAGACCTCAACTGTTTGTTTTAAACTTGGAAAAGTTATAATTTAAAATCACAATATTTGTTCCGAAGTTCAAATGTGCTGTTAAAAACAACGCTGAATCTCTTTCCCAAAATAATCAAATAACAACTGAAGTTTACAACCCCCTATAAGTCAACACTGTATAGAACTGCCTTGTTCCTCAACAAATCCATTTTATTTGTGTCCAGGAATAATCAAACTCATGTATTAAGAGTGTACTGGGGTAAATAAGACAAGACTATTAAACAACAAGGCAGTTCTAACAGTGCTAATTTAAAAGGTGTTGTATACTGCAATTGATCCAAATTGCTTGTTCCAAGATCTAATATTCCAAGGCTCTAATAACATCTAGAACCTAAATTTTGATACAAATATTGTAATTTCAAACAAACTTTCCTAACTGTCAAACAAACACTTGAAGTCTACTTAAACAAAAGAGCAAAAGAGGATTAAGATGGTAATTCAGAAACCAAAATTATTTTTTATTCACAATGCATTTCGATAAATAAGTTCAAGTTCATTGTTCATTCTCATGTTTGAATGGGAAAAATAAATAAAAGAAAACACAGAATACCGAATTCATAGTCAAATAGGTGATTTGAACTGACATGTTTTATCTATAAGGGAATGTTTCTTATAGAACCATCTCAATCTTCTCATTGTTCAATTGATGTTACAAAGCCAAATAATGACAAACTGAATGGTTTTATTTTTTGCCACAAATTACGATATCTTAACATGGAAAATCCTTCAAAACTTGAAAACCCAAATAAGCATGCATTTTTCAAGAACTAGCTATTATGCCAAACATGAAAAACGTATATCCAAACTGAAAACATATATGTACACTTTTCAAAACACACAGTTTATCATTCCTTGGCTTGATCTGAAATTACAATGCTTTGAAAACTAGTAACTGCCCGTGATTAGTGACTTCAACAAAACAGAGCGTAAAACTGCAATTTCCAAATCTACACCTGCCATTTGAAAGGCTTGTGCAGTCATAAAAAATAATTAGCAGTCATAAAAAATAATGTGCAGTCATAAAACATATTGTGGATTCACAATCAATTATTATTTTTGTTTTAACTTTTTATTAATTTTGCATTTTTTGCTAGCTTTTTTAAGTTTTTGAACTCAAAAGTAGAATCGGCCATTGATCACAGCAACCATATAGTTTTCAAAGCATGAGATACATAAAATAAGACATAAAAATATCAAGACCTGTTAATTAATATACTTTCCAATGACAGTGTTCTTTTTGTGGTTTACAAAACTTCAGCCAACAACTTCAGCCATTCTTGGGACTTGCAACATATCTAAAAATTCCAAAATCGATTAATGAGGATGTGAAATAATTTAAAATCCTCCCCTTGATGGCATTCAAGAGAGTGATATAATACAGCCAGGCACATTGCAGCTTTGGGTTAACTCACTAAGATGCATTGCACTCAGGGCTTGAATTTTAACGCGGCAATTGATGTAGAGGGGGAACAAAATGCTATGCATCACTGCGGCAACGACGGCAATTTTTTGCCGTATAGTATATATAATTTTTATACAATTCACATGCATTACTATTTTGATACTTGAATTCAGATGTCGATCAAATAATGCGTAAACTACTATTTTAGTCTGAGTTTTCTTCAAAAAACCACTAAAGAAATACGTAAACATGTTTCTAGCTTGTCAGCAACCCAAATAACAATAAAATTAAATTTTTATTACAGTAATTTGAAAAAATGCTGTGGAAACTGCCAAAATTGCCGTAGACAGCTGTTATGTTCTACGGCAATTTTTAACGCCATTGCCGTTGATTGATTTCAGGGAAATTCGAGGCCTGATTGCACCATAATTTATTTTTCACTTTACTGTTTTTTAGACAGATAGAAAACTTTATTTAATTCAAACATGCTAACCAGGGTCAACCAAAGCCGATATCGACGAGGGGCATGTACGAAAGTCATAGAAAGCTTGATACATATAAAGAATTTTAGAACCTGCAGTTAGGGTTCAAATTAGACAGGAAAAATCCATTCACAAATTCAAATTTTCTGAAGAAATTCACACATTCAAAATTTTCTGAAGAAATTGTAGCCATAATAATAGTCAGCAAAATACTCCATATCTTACAATACAGTAAAATACATTTGAAGTGATTGTGAAAATCAATTAACCTTTTATTGTTTTTGCATAACGTCATTCGCAAAATGGATGATTTTGCATTCTCAAAAAGAAAATTTGCATTCACAAATTGCGAATAGCGAGCCGCTAATTCAAACCCTGGAATTGAATTAATATGGGATAATATTACTCATCAAGGGGAAAGCACTGGTGCTCAATTATTTCTAGTTAACCCATTAAGTTGCATTGCACCCTATTGCACCCAGTACTTTATTATTTTTACTCTGTCTAAACTTGGGGAGAGCGCTGGCACTCAATTAGGTTAAATGGAAAAGATGTTTTAAAGATATACAAATGTAAACAGGAAAAGCACATACCTTTGATTTATGACTTTTGAAAGGGTTTATTTTTAATAATACTTGCAGAACTGCAGAACTTGGAACAATGTGGATTCAACTTGCAATGAATGTCTACAAAAATTTAAGAAACATTTAGGGATGTCAATGACTGACTAATAACTGGGGTACATAAAATATATCCAGAGTTGTATAATGTCATTCCAGAAAACATCCATACCTCGCCACAGAGGGGATTGAAGTTCATTAGCCCCCTACCCCTTTCGGATGTTGTAAAATACACTTATTATAAATCGGAAACAACTTTTTCTCCTCTCTCCATCCGGATGGCAGAAAATTATTTCAGATCTTTATGGGCAGATCTTTTCCGGAATGACTCAATAGTTCAATAACGACATCCACATCTCCACCAAGGAGGAAATATAACCCCCTTCCAATGTCATGGTAAATTTTACTATAGCCAGAACTAGATAAATTTTCCCCCTCTCCCCTCTGGACAGCAGAAATTTCCCCAATAGGAAGAGGCTGGATTAATCAAGTAATCGAAGATTAACACTATTATTATTGACGAAGCCACGCCCTATAGCAATATTGAATGCAGACTTACACACTTTCGTGTGGCTGAATAAACTGTATGTACTGGTGCAGCCATGGAGGGGTAGAAACTTACACAGTATTCCACATCCAGACTGCAAAGTTTCTTTTATGAGCTGGGAACACAAAATTTTGCGCGTTGTGCTGGTGAGGTACACAAATCATAACAAATAGGAAAAGCAATAATTTATTGAAAATTTTGTAAACAAGAAATATAATTTACTAAATAAGCATGGTTATTTGTTCAAATTGCACGGATATCTCTTGCAGACATAAAATTGCACAGATTTTTTTACTGACAAGGAAAAATTGCGTGGCGAACACCTTCCAGCACAAACTAAGTTTGCAGTCTGGTTCCACACACAGTCAAGGGTATTTTGTAGGCTGTAAATTCAAAAAAAAATTCTGAGGAATGACAAATTTTTAGTTATAAAATGTGATTTACATTCCAAGTCATAAGTCATGTTTATCAAATAAACAAGAATTATTATTAAATGATTATTATTACTTCTATTTCAGAATCATCCTCAGAGATAGGAAAAACTAATTTCATATTATTCTGACACTGCAATCGAGCAACGAAAAATTTGTTGGCTAGAGCAGGATTTTAACTCGCATCTTTGGGTATCTAGACCACCGCTCTACGCATTGAGCTATCAAGTCAACAAGGACTGGTAGCGAGTCTTATCCAATTTAAGTGCAGGAAACATTTTCGTGACGACTTAACGCTTGTCGTAGAGGATGCGCAGTGTTTCAATTCTATTTCAGAATTGTCCTCAGACATACTCCTCTACGACAAGTGTTAATATTTTGTGCATTAAATTTTAAAGACTTGCTACCAATCCCTGTTGACTCGATAGCTCAATGGGTAGAGCGGCGGTCTACATACCTGAAGATGCAAGTTCAAATACCGCTCAAGACAACAAATTTTTCGTTGCTCGATTGCAGTGTCAGAATAATATGAAATTATTATTATTTCTATAAACCATTAAACCTATTTTACTACTTTAGTCTAACGCCAGACGATTTTACTTGTGAAGGAAAGAGTGCTCAACCAGTATGGAATCTAAGCGCTGTGCGCCGGACATGTCCGCCACACAACCAGCTGTACGGCAATACATTTACTAGTATTTGGTGCACATGTACGGCGCGCAAAAAATCTCATTCTATGCAGGGTGCTCAAGGCCGACGAGAGCCAGCCCCGGACCCAGGGGACAAAATGACGAATTGGTGAACACGGCCCCGTCCCTCTGGACTCTTTCGCTAGCACATGGCCACGCCAAAATCTATTTTAATCGCAATCAACGAGAGGCCAAAATAATTTTTCCGGAAAAATTTTTTTGGTACTAGTCGGGCAGAATCCCTTAAAGTCAGGCAATTTTCTTTCCGCCCCCCTAATTTTTTCCTTCCGGTACGCCCATGCTGTTTTTGCTGAGAAAACGATCGAAAAAATCGTTTATTTCACATTTGGTACGTTTTACGATCAATCACGACGATTTCTGGGCTCCTCTGAGCACTCCGGGCCAGGGTATTTTGCTGCCTCTGCCCTCCCCCCCCCCTCTCCAACATCATCAATGACATTGGTCGATTAATTTGAAACAATTTATGATGTAAAAAAATATATAAAACTAGGAGTTACTATCGCAAGGAAAATGCTGCCGATATGTACATGTAGGATGTGCTACAAAAAGAGCGTTTTTCACTGTATGTATGATTTATTGTCTTAGACATCGTCGTTCCTCAGTTACCTTTGTACAATTATATCTTACATCTAATCTTATGAAAAGTATATTTTAATATACTTAACAGTGCGACTTTGATAGTTGACACATAATATAAATGATAAAATGTGAATATTATTGAATGATTTTGTCACTCGTACAACTTTTAATTTGGCTATTAAAACAATTGATTTAAAATAGTTGAATTTATACTTACTGGGATGTTATTGCTTATTGGGATGTTGAAATTATGTTTGTTTTAAATACATTTAATTGATATTCCATAAATTCATTTTGTATGATTTCATTGACCTTGGCGTTGTTCAAAATCATTTTGTATTGTATTGAAACTGTATGTCTATGACCTATGTTATGTACTATATTAACCCATTGAGTCGCATTGCACCCTGATGCACCCTACTTTGAACAGTATTTTACTCTGTCTAGCGCCAGACGATTTTACTCGTCAAGGGGAGAGTGCTGGCGCTTAATGGGTTAACTGATCTATCTGCCCATGTGTCTAGTTAACCCATTGGGTCGCATTGCACCCTGATGCACCCTACTTTAGTATTTTACTCTGTCTAACGCCAGACGATTTTACTCGTCAAGGGCAGAGCGCTGGCGCTTAATGGGTTAACACGCCCAAAATCTGTACTAAAACTGCTAATTCTGTGTGATTGGCACAGTTTAATCAAAGAATCCTCCCGTTGAACTAGAGCCTTCACGATATTTCAATTTATTATTAACTGAAGGCTCTGGAATCCAGGATAGCTTGCCATTGAATACAGTGCAATGATTATATTTCTGAATGAATAAGATCATACTCAGAACAGTCAGAACTGCAAAACTATATTGTTAGAAAGAAGTTGAAGTTGTGAGCATTTATATTGTGGTAACACAGCCATATGTATATATCAATGTATGTCAGTAGAATCATGTTTATAGGCTTTATATATAACTGAGGCAGTCTTATACAAGTCATATCTTATACAAAAGTCAGTTGATATGCTATATTACATGTAATTGCTGATAAGTCCATATATGCAGACAACAATCCACACTGGGTAGCTCTAGGAATCTTGTTAAGCCTGATTTAACAACATCCCGCGTACTATAACTATAAACATCTAGAAATAGAACGTACCGAACACTATTATATACTCACCGCCTTTGGCTTTGCACATATTAAGTGACATAACAAACAAATAAACTAAAAGTTTATTTGCTTCTTGTATCAGCATAAAGGCATTAATCATTACTGTCGATTTGGTCGGGAATAGATCAGTGATTCAGTGGGTATTATAATTGACGATATATTCTTGAAATCATATTGTTTCAATGCCAGAGACACAAAATAACACCGTGCTTTATTTACCCATTCATCTTCACAAATATTACTCGGAAATTTTATGGAAATTCGCATTATTTTATGATTTTTATATTTCCGTCCGTTTATAACAGTCGCCATGTTGTGAACAAACCCCCCCGGGAACAAAAAAAAATATCAAAACAGCTAGTTTTGGCCCGTCCGTGGATGACAAAATGACATAAATCGAGATTGTAGCGGCTACAAACTCGGCGGTCACGTGGTAAGCACACCACGTGTAGAGATTAGTGTGGAACTTTTTGTTTGACGCGATAAAAGGCTTCGCTTTGTTGCGCAAAAAGCTATAATTCCCTATTTTGAATAGGAGAAGGGGTAATTTTCATGGGAAAGTGAGTTTCTCGAAGCACTTAATGTTAACGAGCAATAGCCATACAGGGAAATAGGAAATAGGAAATAGGAGTTATCAAAATGAGCAATAGCCATACAGGGAAATAGGAGGCTAGTTTGAAATATTGTGGTCGTCTATCAGAAACGACGGCTTACGAAGCCGCAGAATAAAATATTACACCTGTCAAAATGTACGATAACGCAACTATCAACAACATTTCAGCTCGGGATATTAGACGCTGATCTTTCGTCTCGTGGTTTGAAATATAAACACAGTTGAAACCATTCAGCAAAAAATCACAGACAATTCTACTAAATAAACGCTTAAAATATATAAACCCCGTCTTTCATCGAACCTCTTCTGCGGCACTCAGTACGAGTTGCACTCAGTTAAGAAACCACGCAATATATTAATATAATATGTTGTTCAAACCATGCAATACAGGGTGTATCACAATACCTACAAACACTATATAATTTGCATAATTCTACTGCTTACTAGCATTTCAATGTACAGCACGGTGCGTAAAAAAACTGACACCTTTGTTATTCAAATTAGCCGCAAAGGTATCAGGTTTTTTTACTCACCCTGTATGTGCTATTTATTTTGCTCCTGCATGAGATTTGAACTGCCCATCTAACTTAATTAACTGCGTTGATAGAAATTACTATATGTATACGCTTGGGATCAAATAGTTCTGAATCCTGCAAATTCTAAAAACATTGTATTTCAATGGGTTAGTTAGCAGGTTTTTTTATACATCCTATATATATCAATATAATATACCTTCTCTTATACACTGCTTTAATTAGGCGCAGCGGTAAGAATATATGAGATTTCGACAAACAATTTTTATCGGACTCATAATTATTTGCTCAATAATTGTTCTCTACATTGTGCATCAAAAAAGATAATCCAACTTCAGCGCGCTATTGCACCTGCGTATGAACGAGATTCGTATTCGGAACGCCCATGCAAATGCACGCAATTTACGAACATGACAGCCTACCTATGTAGGCATATTAACTCTTCAATACATGCATGTAAAGTGGTGTTTCCCCATGTATAACACTTACTGAAACCCACTATAACCAGGCCATTTTTTAACTATGTAAACTCTTTTGTCAGAAAGTTGTCCCATCTTTTGCTGTCAGGTTATGAAGATGTCCCATCTTTTCTTAACCAGTGGAAGCTTAAAAGGAGTCTTATATTATTCTTTACCCCACAACGCAGGCGCGGGCGTTAATTCCGTAAATAAGACAATGGTGTCAATGCAGCTATTGTTTTTGGAATAATATGTAGATATATCTTGGTGATTATGGTGAAAACGTTTGTGCCAGATTCATGTGCGCACTATGCATAGATATCTTATATACACTAGATAGTGCATCTAATTATTCTGCAATTCAAAAATTGAAGCCTTGATTGCAGTCTCAGGTCGTTCCCATGAAATGAGAAGATTCGTATATTTTCTATTTCTTAAACACGTAACTTAAACATTAAGTTAACCCTATTCCAAATACATTTTCAAACTATTCAAATGATGAAAGTTAGTGTTGTTTTTTAGCGTTTATTAGCAAGTGGGAACGACCAACATGGCCGCCATCTATTCAAATGGGGGTAACCGCTGGAATATTCTTGGCTTCAATTTTACTAAGAGAGATGCGCTATCTAGTGTATATAAGATATCTATGGCACTATGGCCTAGGGAAAGGCGGTATACGTGTATAAGCCACTGAAGCCGCCGCACGTTTTATACTGCCCGGATCTATAACGACGGCAAATAAGTTTCGACGTTTCGATATGGAATTATCATGCCATACTTTGAACTTATGACTTCCAAGAAGGTATTAAGACGATAGTTAAGAATTGAGGTAAAAAATTTCCCTAAACAACTGCTGATACATATTCCCCTGTAGTTTCCAGGAACAGAACGACAACCTGATTTATATAGAGGTACAATATACCCTTCCGACCACATGTGAGGAAAAATTCCGTGATATAAAACATGATTAAAAAGTTTAACAAAGTTAGTAGCATGAATTTCCACAGCAATTTTAATAATTTCATTGCCTATTACGTCTCCAGCACTACTCTTTTTGTTCTTATAAGCTTCTTTGCTAATGCACAAACTTCATTTACTGAAATCGGTGCATCTAGAGTATTATCAGATTTAGCTGCCCAAAGTCGGTAATCTCTGACAAATTGAGTCTCGTTTCTGGAATTTTCGGTAGTTACTTTTTCCTCATTTAAATTTTTAAAATAATCGTACCATACTGCGGGTGAAATCTCATCCTCTATACTATTGGAATTATTTGATTTTATAGACTTTACCAATTTCCAAAACTCTTTTGGATTATATTCTTCCATAGATTGAATTTTGCTTAACATTTCATTTTTAAAATTTCTTTTTAATCGTTTGACGAGTCGTTTGTATTCCTTCTTTGTACTGAAAAATTTATGTCGTAAAAAATTATTATCAGGGAATCTTGAAAGCAAGCTACCCAAGTTTCGTAGTTCATTTTTTAACACGTGGCAACTCTTGTCAAACCATTTTTTATTTTGCATTGTACTTTTTTGTTTCTTTTTTGTAAATCGTCTATTTTTAATTTTTATAACCTTTTTCGAAACTTTAATAATAATATTTGTAAATTCATTCACTAATGAATCCACATCCTGATCTTGTGGAGATTGAAACAAAGTATTCATTTCATTCAAAATGCAGGTATTACTGAGATTTTCCCTAAGAGTAGTTTTTAGAGCATCATTCCACATAAAAGACATAGGAAGTGACGACAATTGTAAAGTTTTTTCTGTCCTTAGTGGTAAATAAGATTCAGTTTCTAAACCGAAGGAAAGAAAACAATGATGCGAGAAGTGTGTGATTTCAGAGACAGTAAAATATTTAATTTCGCTCATGACCTCTGTGGAAACAATAGTATAATCAACCACACTAGCTCCATTATATGTTTGACAGGTAAATTGACCGATATAGTCACCCTTCGTTCTACCATTTAGCAGAATTAAATCATTCCCGCAACACAATTCTGCCAATAGTTTCCCATATGAATTACAGTGATTGTCTTTGGAGTTACGTGATTCAATTTCAATTGAACCGTTAGGAGGACAGGTAGATGGGAAAAAATCTTCTAAAACTGACGTGGTTTTTATACAATCATCTAAATCACCAATTCTAGCATTGAAATCGCCACATAATATTATGCTCCCTAATTTTGAAAATTTGTAAATATTTTCCTGAAGAGATTGAAAATGGTCGCGGTCTAGACGACGTTCTCTAGGCGAGTTTTGCGGAGGAATATAAACACTACATATAAACAAATCTCGTTTCATGTGAAAAAAATCTTTGTCTAATTTCCACCAAATAAACTGTTCATTACTTTCTCTATCAAAAAATCTGATCCCTTTTCTCAACTCTGATCTCACCAACACAGTTATACCACCCGAGTTCCTCCAAGCTCTATCATGTTTTTGCCTACACTTGGAAAAAGAATAAAAACCTTGTATATTTACTGTACTATCATTTTTATCATCCAGTTTTCCCAAAAGTCCTTCAATATTCCAGGAACAAAATTTTAAAAGTTTTTTTAACTGCATTAACTAATTCTTACAATAACCAGAGACGTATAAGTACCTGAACACCTTCAGAACTAAGGTATGGAAGTCTGACTAACAGCCGAACTATATCGTGGAAAAAAAGATGGAGAAGCTGTAGACTGTGGATACATCATGCTACATCGCTGCAAGTTACTTGACACTAAAACATTAACTAATTTATTTAATGTACTTAGCTGGGAAAAGACATCATTGATTCCATTTTCCTTCTTTGTTTCGTGTTCTTTGCTGACTTCGATAGGCTGTGTAGCAATACCATCCTATTTTCTCCGCATATCTTCTGGTCCTAGTAGGGGATTTACAGAGCTTCCATAACGGTGTTGAGGGTATGGAACACGATCCTCGGGTCGGATCGGATGCGGATCATCACTGTGGTAGGATGAATAACGAGGGTGAGGGTATGGAGCACGATCGTCAGGTCGGATCGGATGCGGATCACCACTATGATAGGATGGGTAGCGT